AACTTAGCATGTCCACTGAAATCTGTTTCTAATATCTCTGAATGAGGAAGCAATTTTCCTAACATGACCCTAATTCAGATTTTGTTTTCTTTGCCTAAAAAAATAACAAACTAAAAAGATGGCCTCAATGGAGCTGTGAGCTGATATTTATTTCAGCAATATAACTCTGAAAAATGCCAAAGGCCCCTTAAATGTTGAAACTGTTACCTATTGCACCCTGGACAGTGTTCAGGTCCATGAGCAGATTTTGAGTGAAGTAATTTCCCCCCTCCCCCCGTCTGACCCTGAGAGCATTTGAATCGATGCTTTTAGCAAGCAAACTTGCTAGCAATAATGAACTACATATAGTTTTGTACAATAATTCTCTCTCAAGGGCTGTGAAGCTGGTGCCTACTTAGTAATAATTTTGGAAGAATAGCTGAAACAACACATAATGCTTTTTTATATAATTCCAGAAGTGACTGAAAGACTGGACAGTTTTGAGGACTATCCAAGTGTGAAGAGATGGATTTGGACTACTCCCAGCTCATGGCAAGCCTTGCATTGTGTAAGACTCAAAATGCTTTCCCATTGTTTCTTCACAGTTGAATGTGGCTGTTTGTTCTCTCATTTTTAAATTACCTTTGGAGCCATTTTGCTGGAGCCTGGGACAAAATTCATTGGTCGAAACACAAACTTTGAGTAAGTCTCAAGGAATAACAGCTGCTGCCTTGCAGTCAGCTAGAGCTGTAAAACAGGACCTGTAAAATGGATGACCTTCACATTTACTTAACTGTGTAGAAATGGTATTTGTCAGTGCCAGTTTCTATTTCATTTATTTCTTCTAGTAGACTACCACAGGATCTGTAATCTGTGATCCTAAGAATATATTGCAAGGAAAAGAATAAAAAGTGTTTATTTCTGTTATTAAACTGTTTTCCCTACCTTATAAGATTAAAAGTTTAGAAATGCAATTACTGAAAAGTAGACAGAGAGTGACTCAGTGCTTTACCACAGCCAGCACTGTGCGGTAAGATGAGTAACTACTGTAGGCAGTGGTGAATTCCCACAGTCCCATTGGGCTGGCTTTCCCTTTTTTTGGGTCACAATTTGGAAACCAGGACAGAGAAATAACCAACAGATGAGAAAATCTAGTCAGAGTATGAACATGGCTAAGAATTCTTGGAAGAAAAAAAATAGGACTGAAATAAGAATTTTTTTTGGTAAATAAAATTAATTTCCAGACTTTAAAGGAACAGATTGCACAGTTGCAGGTTAGAGTCTGTGCTGTCTGTTTTCACTATGTACTTCACCCTAATATCTCTGTATGGGGCTACTCTTATCACAGAGTTTGGCCTTAAGCTGATAATCTGTACCGATTTATTAGCCTTGAATACTTCATACCTTTGACTTGATTTTTTCTTTAAACAAGTAATTGACTGATGGATGTTCTGTTCTGTTGTTTTTCTGCCAGCTTCATTATTTCAGTCTCAATAAAAATCAAGAGAAAATGCAAACTGGAAAGGTAATACACACAAAATCTCCAAGTGATTCCACACCACAGCCTCTCTACTTGCTTGGGTCCAGTAAATAAAGGGAAGCAAAAATGCCCAAGTGCTCCACGGAGAAAGGCTTGGTGCTGCCGTCTCGTGGGAAAAGGGAGAAGGGACACTTGGGCAATAAAAGCAGAAATGTAAAAAGGGAAAACAAAAGAGGATTTTCTAAAACTTGCTAACATCAACAGTCCCATTTTTTGTTTAAAGACGGCTGTGCGCTTTATTGCTTGCGGATCGCTTTCCTTTGCAGGTGATGCGGGCCCAGAATTACGTCACCAGTGGAGCAGCCAAGAGCATCCTGGTGCCAGGATGACTGAAGCTGAGAGGAATGTATTATCACAGACCGCAGAGGGACTCGCCAGTGCATTCCTTGCTGGGGGTGCTGCGATGGGGGAGGCAGAGAGGAGATGATTTTACGCAAAGGCTGAAAGGAAACTTTGTAGAGGAAAGATCTGGGGTCATAGTCCTGCTGTCTCCTCTAAGCAGATCTAATTATGGCTGTGTACTTCAAAAAGAGGGTTTGACTAAAACCAGATTTAGCAGGGCACTGCTCAGGGAGCACAGAACGAGTCCTCTCAGTTCTGCCTTTGAGGAAAACGCAGAATGCCTCAGTGCACTGGGAGCGCAGACACTTTGGTTGTAAAGAAAGACTTGAAGCCACAGCAGGAGAAGCAAGAATGAACTTAAAATCATCACTGCTTATGTGAACAAGTGATATCAATGCATTCATACAAACAATGCTAATGTTAGACATCAGGTGTACATTTACTGACAGATTGTGGGATGCAGTAGAAGACTCGGCAGTTTCAAGGACAATGCAGGAAATCATCAAATCATAGAATCACAGAATGGCTTGGGTTGGAAGGCATCTTAATGACCACCCAGTTCCAACACTCTCCTTTGTGCAGGGCTGACCTCCACCAGCTCAGGCTGCGCAGGGTCCCATCCCACCTGGCCTTGAGTGCCTCCAGGGATGGGGCATCCCTTGGCAGTTGTGCCAGGGTCTCATCACTCTCTGAGTAAAACATTACTTCCTAACACCTAACCTAAATTTCTCCTCTTTCAGTTTAAAACCATTCTCCTTGTTTTATCACTACTAGACTGTAAAAACATGGTGCCTTTTCCACTTACAAGCTCAAGTACTGGAAGGCCACAATGAACTGTTGCACACAGCACCCTCAATAAGTTCCAGCAAGGCTTTGTTGCCACATGTTACCATGGCTGTGACAAGCAATGTCCCATGCCTCCAAAAGAAACTCCCTCTTCCCTGATGTCAGAAGGCTTGCAGACTTTTTGCTGTCCCACAACATTGCTGAGGCCGTCCTGACCACAGGCCTCTTTCTTTGCCACTAAAAATCAAGAGTTTTTCAGTGCTTTTAGTAGGAACAAAATAAGCTGTCAACAAACTGGATTAAAAAAAGACTACAAGATGAATTGCTCAGAGCTAGGCACCTGACTGTCTTTTGCTGTACAGCCTTAGAGCCACACTGTTTCAGTTTTCAATACTTACAAAAATGCAGAGGAATCCTGAACTCTGTGTGCACCTAGCAAGCAAAGGTGAGAAGAAGAGGTGGTTCAAGACTACACACTAGTGAGTAGTTTCCAATCTTCCCTGGCTTTTCTATCCTGGTGTGTGACATGGGACAGAGGGAGGAGGACATGAGAGGAGGACCCTAAGGAGAGAGGAACGTGCGCACTTGGTTTTTCGCATTTTGCCACATGCCATCTTCTTTCTCCTTGGTCACTACTAAACTTAATGTGATTTTTCCCAACTAGTGCATTGAACAACATGGATTAAATAGCAAACATCAGGTTTCTATTGTCACTCAGCATAAACCAGAGGCACTGCAATTCTTCACCTACAGTACAGAGGGAACGGCAACTAAAGCTGGGGGACTTGGGTGCTCTTAAAGATGTGCTTTCAATACAAGTTCAAACTCAAATTCTTCTTTTCATTCCTGTTTTTCCAAAAAGAAAAGTAGGGTGTGGGAAAATTGGAGTTTAAAAGACGCAAAAGAGCAGTAAGAGTATGAAAAAAATGCCCCTGGGGATAGGACTTGATATCTTTGCAGTAATAATGTGAGACAGAAAAGTTCTAAATCATTTCATTAAGGGATATTGGTTCAAAGCAAACAGTCTATAACTTAGGCTGCTTAATGGTCTTCAGGAACTGGAATAATAAGAAGGCAACAACTGACAAATTAAAGTGATTTTTAAATGTAAAGAGAAACGTAAATGGTATTTTAACACAGCTTTTACTTTTGTAGCAATTTAGTTGCCTGTATCTCCACACATTCACAGATACTCACCGCAGTGAAAAAAATGTCACGTAAGAGAATTACATATGAATAACTACTTGGAAAGACAGCAGATTTTTTATTTTATCTTACGGGAATAAAATTGTTAAGATATAGACACATTTTTGTCCTTTAAAGTTTGCCAATCAACACAGGAAATCAAAGAATCAGAAAAAGAACAGCCACTAAACCAGGAAATACGGTCACTTTAGCTCATGTGCCACCTACTCATAGCTGGCATTGAGCAGAGCTCAGGAAATCCACTGAACAGTTCAACTCCTGGCTTATTGCAATAGTCTGCCATCAGACTGTGGTTTCCTCAAAAGCATTTCTTCTTTCAACTGGCTCTAAGTATTCTTCTCAGAGGTTTTTTTTTCTTCCAAACTTTGTGGTTAGATATTAAGCAGTTTGGTATGTGCATGAAATTTCATATTGAAAAACTCAGGCTGTTACTGAGTGCTCATTCTTCACCTAAGTTAGGTGTCCTTTCTTTTCTGTGACTTAAGAGAACAACTTATTCGTACAGTGACAAACACTTGAAGGAAAAAAAAAATGGAGCACATAAGCATGCTAGATATACAACTGCAGACAGTTCATCACAGGCTGAATGTGTTCTATAAAATATGAACATTTTTATTTCCAGAGGAATGTAGAACTTGCCTGAGGCACGTTCTTTCAACAACATGAAAAATAATGCAAATTGTTTGTGGCTTTATAAGCCTAAATGTGAAAGGCATGGCAAATTCCCTGCCATGAGTGTGCCAATATCCAAATATGTGGTTTTCCTTACCCAGTCCTCCTGCTGTGACACTGTGCCCCGCCATTCACAAAATGTGCCACTCAGCTGAACAAGCCAGCCCAAACCTTAGCCAACACAAATAACATCTGATCTCTCAAAAGCTACCAGGAGATGAACTCAAAATGGGAATGAATAATACAAAACAAATTCATTTTTAAGTTCAAGCACACACTGAAAGAATGTTCAATGGTACTCTTCCAGCTCTAGACTTGCAAAATAATGTACCGCTAGCGTGAAAGAAGTGACATTTACAAATGGATTACATGAATTTAGCGCCATTTAAACACAGAAAGGACCAACCCATGTCACTGCTGAACTTAAAAGTGTTTGGATATTGAGGGCGTGCTTTGCACTGTCTTGGACACTCACCTCTCTCGCTCCTGCTCCAAGAGGTTGGTAAAGTCATCGCTCTTGTTCATGTAATCTGTATGTTTATGCTTCTCATTTTCAAGCTCATAAACTGTGCGGCGATGGCATTTTTCTGCCAAAAGGAGCTGTTCCAGCATGCGTCGATATGTCTCCTTCTGCTTTTCTTCAAGCCTGTCCAGCTGGATTCAGAAAAGGAGAATAGGCTGTTTCAGAGGTCTCCTGCTTATTTCATCTGATTTATTAACAAACAATGTCATGTTTGGTAAATGTGAGTCCCACAGTTTTACGTCTTGCGCTTTACATAAAGCAGTGCCTAAAAATAGGAGTAATTGTCCCATAAAAATAACGATTTCTTTGGACAGGGTGTTTGCAATAAACATTTGCATAGCTCTTGGGTACACAAAGAACAGGACTTTGTGTAGTTATAGGGTAACAAACAATACTGTTGCAGTGCAGAATGCCTCCTATGATGAGGTGCTGCTCAAAATTTCCTCATTTCACATAGGAACAGCAGCAGCAGATCTCTGGGAGGGATCTGAACCCTAAGCTCAAGTGCATCCATGGGGACAGACACCCAAGTGAGTAGCATAAGGTATAAGCTCAAAGCTGAAATTTGAACTGTGCATCTTCAACACAGTTATACGTTATACCTGTACAACTGCTGAGATAAAAAGTGTGAACAGGCCCTGCCCACCTTCTGTATGATTCCTCCTCTGCCCCAGCTTCACTGGGCAGCTGCTGTTTCACAGGGTACCTCTGCAAACCAGGGGAAATAGGAGAGCTGGAGGGCAGCACTGAAGCAGCTTTCCAGAAGCTGAATGTGACAGTCAAAAAAGAAGTGATTGCATTTTATAAAGGAGCCAGGATATCTTTTGTGCACTTAGGAATTTTTTATACCACCCTATTTTAGCTCTCACGTAACCTCTGTATGCCTAGACATGACAGAGACTGATGTACACCGAGGTCCCCTAGCCAGTATTTCATGCATGCTCTTAAATACTAATTTTTGCCTTCCTTACTTATTATCACCCCTTCAAATCCCAGAAGATATCATGACGAAAGTGCATAGTATAAAGGCACTCAGGGTAGACAATTCCTGGTGAAAGAACTTTGTGTTCTGAACAGAGGAACTATAAAGAATTGGACAGATGCTACAGTGTGTTGTATGGCATGTTGTTGCATGCTCTTTTTCTGTGCTCTGGACTGTTATGAAACTATGACCATGACCAGTGGTTGCTTATTTTGGCGCTCACAGTGGCCTCAAACATTCCCAGATCTATTCTAGCTTTATTTATTATATATATATTTATTTATCAGATTAGATTTTAAGCCAAGAGTTTAAATCCTTGGCTTAAAGTCCTGCAGATCTCCTTTAGGGGCTGAGCTAACTTCATAGCCCTGTTGGTGAAGAGACAAGATATGATTAGGGATTTTTGATCCTGTAATTATGGTCAAAATCCATCTCTGATGGTATTCATTTCTGAACTATGCTAGTGCTCTACTATGTCACAGAAAAGGACTTGGCGATACAGGTGGATTGATGGCAACGTGGACGTAAGTCACCAGCGTGCTCTCGCAGCCCAGAAAGCCAACAGTATTCTGAGCTGCATCAAAAGCAAGTCGAGGGAGGTGATCCTGTCTCTCCACTCTGCACTGGTGAGACCTCACCTGGAGTACTGCATCCAGATGTGGAGTCCTCAGCACAGGAGAGACATGGATTTGTTGGAGCACATCCAGAGGAGGGCTACAAAAATGATCCAAGGGACAAAACACTTCTGCTATGGGGACAGGCTGGGAGAGCTGGGGCTGTTCAGCCTGGAGAAGAGAAGGCTCTGGGAAGGGCTGAGAGCAGCCTTTCAGTATCTGAAGGGGGCTATAAGAAAGAAGGGGACAGACACTTCAGCAGGGTATGTCGTGATAGGACAAGGGGAAACGGCTTCAAACTAAAAGAGAGGAGATTTACAGTGGATATAAGGAAGATTTTTTACAATAAGCACAATGAAGTACTGAACAAATTGCCTAGAGACATGGTGGATGCCCTGTCCCCAGAGACATCCAAGGTCAGGCTGGACAGGGCTGTAGGCAATCTGATGTAGCTGTAGATGCCCCTGTTCATTGCCAGGGATTTGGACTAGATGAGCTTTAAGGGTCCCTTCCAACTCAAATCATAGAAAAAAAAAATAATCATAGAATCACAAGGTTGGAAACAACCTGCAAGATCACTGAGTCCAACCATTCTCCCGCTACCATTGCTACCACAGGCTCCTAAACCATATCTCGCAGCTCCTCATCCAGACACCTCTTGAACACTGCCAGGGATGGTGACTTCACCACTTCCCTGGGCAGCCATTCCAGCGCCTGACCACTCTCTGAGAAAAAAGTTCTTCCTTATGTCTAACCTAAACCTCCTCTGATACAACTTGTGGCCATAATGTTTCTGTAATTCTGCATTTCTAAAAGAAGAAATGCAACACACAAAGATTTTATTCTCTCTTCCCTGCACCAGCCCTAAGGAGCATCTAGACTGTTTATGTTCAAACCCTGTGATTTTATTTACCCTTATTTATCAGGTTAAGTTAACAAGAATATTCAATTTTCCTTTGATTTCTTGTCATTTCTACCACCATTATATTATCCTCTGGCACGTTCTGCATAAACACAAAATGCATGCAATTTTCCTTCTGGTTAGGAATCCCCCTGCACAGACTTGAAGATGTAAACTGAGAAGTTTTTACCTCTGAAATTGGTTTCTCGTAGACATCTTCTCCTATAGATTTTTCTTGGGCGAGGATGGCATCCCTGTGTAGCACTCTCAGCACACTCTCTGGAGCTGCAGAACCATAGTGAGCTTCTAAAACTTCAGGTTTGGTTTTCTCTGTCTTCAGCATGTGGATCACATCCTCCCTTGCCTGTAACACAGAAGATCAGTACCATAAGCCAATCTGTTAACCAACAGGGGAAACGTGGAAAATCGGGGCTCTTCATACATACAGACTGCATACAGAGAAAAAGTAAAAATGAGAAGAATGCTGGGCTGCCAATGAAAATACAGAACTTTGGGAGATATCAGAGTAAACACAATCTGTGTAAGCCAAATGCACTCCCTGTAGGCATTATTTATTCATTTCCTTCTTGTCATTACATTTGAATGCCATGGATTTTTACCTGGCTTGAAACTAACGCCAAGGAACATCATTAATCTTGACATGTTTTTTCACTTATTTTGTGCCCTTGCTGTTCTCTGACTGCATTTAGGGGATGAATAAAACAAGCAGCACAAATGGGCTGAATTAATATTTTTCAGACAGCCTCACATCAAATATTTCCAAGTAGCCTCCTACCTGACTTTGTGACTGTAAGTTATCTTCAAATACTTTAAAAAAAAAAAGTTTTCTAACTTTTGCTTGCTTAAACAAAACCCCTGGAAAGAAAATCCACAAGGGATGTCCCAGGTTTCCTTGGAGCATGCATCTCCCACAAGCCCACAGCAATGGAAAGCAGAAAGGTGCGGCACCTTTTTTTCTCTCCCCTCCCCTGCTCAACCCATGTCAGCCTGGGAGACAAGTCAAGAGCTAAGGAAAAGTTCAGATATTTTAGGAAAAATCTCTTAGAAATTCAGCTTCAGTATGAACAGTGACTATTTAGGATTTATGAACTGGCCAACGCTTCATGTTTCCCAGTGTTCATAATGGCACTTGGTGTTACCGCTGTAGCAAATCCTGAATCTTTACCCAATACCACAGAGACATCGCAGCTCTACAAATCACCTGCTTTTAAAACGAGCATGGAAACAATTGCAGAAAATGGCAAAGACCACTCAATCTTTCCTTAATAAAGCAATATGAAAATAAACAAAAAATGAGTTTGAGGCAAAGATCATGCCAGTCAGTTGAAAACAGTTACCTGTAAGGTAGCCCTGTACAACACTTTGTAACTGCAACTGAAAGCCTTGCATGCAGTTCTGCCTACAAGATACAAATAACTGACTGGAATGGTAGAGAATGTTTTTTCAGCATGAGTGTGGAAGAGAGCATCACTCAAGGATGTCAGAACTACAAATGAATTATGTGGGCTAGTCCCAAGGAATGCCTGTACACCTCCCTGCATCATGTCCTGGTAGTATGCTGCTCTCAGAAAACAAAAAAAGAAAAAGAAAAAAGAAAAAAGAAAAAAGAAAAAAGAAAAAAAGTTATTTTAGGAATGCCTGAGACAGTTGCAAGAACATATTCTATATTTTTCTTATATGTCTGTAGAAATAACAGCTATTTTAATGTCTTCGTAACTAAGAGGTTAGTATTTCTAATCTGAGTGTTTTTTTTTCTCCATGGTGAATGAATGTAATAATCATCATACACTCTGGCAAGGCAGAGAATAGGAAACCTCTCCCTCCCCAGTCACCTGGTTGTCAGACAGTGACTAAATTGGGTTCCTAAAGCAGATGGTTCAATCTTCTTGGCTGGTTAGCACCTACCACTGAGTCCATTAAATGGCACCTGGGGACCCTGGCCTCAGTTTTTGGGCCATCTGTGTCCTGTCCCAAGGCACACTCAGTGTCTCACTGTGGGCCTTAAGCGGTGATCGGGGCCATCTCTGTGCAAAGGGAGCGCTGAAAATATGGGGACAAAGGGAGCAGCACTGTTCTGCCCTGTGCACCAACACCAAAGATGCACCATGCTGAAACCTTGACTCATTTTGGCCCTAAGCACAGGAAGTGTCAAGCCCCATTTCTCAAGAATGGGTCTACGTTGGAAGACTCAACTAGAAAGGAGGGAGGGAGGATGAATTTATTCTCTCCTATTGCAGCTATCAGGCCCCATATGGTGTAATTAAACATTGAGAGGCAAAGCAGAGACAACCCCTGCTTGGTGATTTAGTGTCGGTAGGCACTGGCAGAGGAACCTATTCCCAGTGAATGTCCTCGCGCCTGTCCAGGTTTTGCATACTTTCCTTCCAGCCTCATTAGTCTTTAATCATCATTGTCTGAAACAGAACAACTTCAGCAGGAGAGAATAAGTGTCCTTGAAACAAATTTGCCAGTTAAGAGATGTTTCTGTATGCTGCAGTTTTGGGTCCCCAGGAGCCAGTGGGAGAGGAGCTGGGAAGTGTGTGGTGTTAAACAGAGGAACTAAACCCCTAAACAAGAAAGAAGAGGTTGTCCAAGCTCTGTCAGAGCTTTGAAGGACACTCTTTTCCACAGCATCACAGAACAACAAAATGGCTGAGGTTGGAAGGACCCCTCCTATGAAGAAAGGCTGGGCAAACAGTTCTTGTTCAGTCTGGAGAAGAGAAAGCTCTAGGGAGACCTCATTGTGACATTCCAGTACTTAAAAGGAGCTTATCATTGGAATGAAGAAAGGAGGGAGATGTTAGAGGAAATTCTTTCACTCAGTGTGTGGTGAGGCACTGGAAGAGGTTGTGCAGAGAAGCTGTGGATCTCCATCCCTGGAGGCGTTCAAGGCCAGGTTGGATGGGGCCTTGGACAACCTGATAAAGTGGTTGGCAACTCTTCCCACAGCAGGGGGTGTTGGAACTAGATGAACTCTAAGGTCCCTTCCAACCCAATCCATTCTATGATTTACGATTTTATGGAAGCCATTTGGTCCAAACTCTGTGCTCAGGCAGTGAAACTCAGAGCAGGTTACCCAGGATCAGGTCCAGTTATTCATTTCATCATCTCTAAGAGCTGCAGAGCACAGTGCAGTGCTCTAGAAACCCTGAGCAGAGAGGCCCCTTGCTGCAGCCCAAGAGAAGGATTATCCAGCCCACGGGCACTCATCCACTCATGTCCTCCTTTATGGGCAGTCAGGACTTGGATCACAGGCGCATGATAAGATGTATTCTGCCTTTTCTGGGCTTGATCAGTGCTCCTATCATTTTCTTTTCAAATACTCTGTTCCTGTAACAGTTTGTAAAACTAATAAACAGACACTCAGGTTGCTCATACTAATATTAATCTCATGCTAATAATAAACTGGAGACAAATTTGTTTTTATTTGGTCAGAGTCAAGCCCCAGCACTGAAAGATTCTGCCATGCCACCACCCCAGGTCTGGACAGTTACATCCTATCTTCCGAACCAGCCTTGGGATTTACAGACTCCAATTAATCTCTCTGACACCCCTCAAGATAAATGTACATGGAAGAAACTGCAGGACTGTATTTTTCATGATTTCATGTTTTCTTCAAATGACAAATTTTCCACTGAAACTAGAAGAGAACTCATAAGAAAATGTTTTCTTTCCATGTATACAGAACAACCATCACTGAACTAAGCTTCAGGATATAAACCATTCCCAGATAACAAGTCAGCATAATACTGTAGAGAAACACTTGGGCTACTTTAACACACACATCTGCAAAGAAGTGTGAGAGGTCCCTCTTCCTAGCTAGGAAGAACTATACTGGCAAGTCGCTTCTACTTCCATATCTACTTACGGCCCTTCCTTGCTCCAAAGCACAACACAGTTTAGCATAAATTGTAAGCTAGGAGACAAATACAAGGAAGAGATTTCAAAATGGAAGTAAAGGTGTATGTACATCACAGACTAAAGGTTTTATCCATTTTGGCTGAAGAAACATAGTGTTTGACACAATAAAGCCCTCTCTCAAGTCCATTTTTATTTTATAGAGGTGTGCTGATGAGAGAGAGTATTCAGGCATGAGATGGCCACACACTGCAACAGCTTTCAACAGAATGAAAATTACTTGAGTAAGTCCAGAAAACTGCTAATATCCAGAAAAGCTCTTAAAAGTCTAGGTGCAGAATTAAGAAAGTAAATGCATCTTCCCTTACAGTTCTTCATTACTTAAATTGTCCTAAACTCTAAGATAAGCTTCTATTTGTACTGTTGATACTGTGGTTACTCAGAAAATAAAGATGTTTTTTCTGTTAACAAGTGCTATCAAACAGTTGATCCACTAAACTGTAGGACTGATTGAGACAGATTAATGAACAGGTCATCTTAGAAATACTTATCGGGAAGCACAAAAGGCCATACAGGTTGAGAAGTGTTTTTCTACACTCATTTTCTACAGGAGCAAAGTTTGCTGAGGATTCATCAAACTCTTTCTGCCACCTCTGTTGACAGAGGAACTACATCAAACTGTATCGTTTAAGCCTTGTTCTGTCCTTACTGCAGGTGCCAAAATCTAAAGGATGATCATCTCAAATCTCCAGTGCATCCGCTGAGGGGCTAAAATTCAATGAAGTACTGCTGTTCCACACAGCTCCTCCTACTCTGCTCTGCTGCTCAGTTGCTGGTGTGTCTACTTAAGTTGCAGATCTGTATTTCTACCTGTGAACTCTCTCAGTACACAGCTCTCTTCTCTAAGGAGTACTTACTGCATGCTCTGATGGAAGGCTGACATGGGACCACTCTTCACACGGTTCCCTTGAAATACTCACTTTTTGGCAGAATAAAAGAGAAAGGCTTTCTTTGGCTTACTGGCCAGAGTGGAGAAGGGGTCTGAGTTCCAAAAGTTCTCACTTTAATACGTGCCTAGTAAAATACTTAAATAATATAGAAAGGATGTAAAGAAGTCCCTGCATAAAATTGAAACCATTTAGAAAACAATAGCATGACTCTGCTGCTTGTAAAAGGGGACTGGCAGCCTAGCAACCAAATTCTTGGTCAATGGAAAGACTGTTACACAAGACCAGCATTCGGACGTGCTTCCTCCTCCTGCCCTGCCCTGCCAATTTACTACAGCCCTCTCTCCCCATTCCCACAGTCTTTGGCCTCTCCCGTGAGACTGCCAACAAAACTTAGCACCCACTAAACGGGGAATTTTTGCAATAGCCCATTTATCACCTGGGAAATGGGACTGGGCTGCTCAGACTTGTTTCATGTAAGGCAGCTAATAAATTGGGAAAAAAAATCAGTTGCATTCGAGATGGACTGAATGGACTC